ATATATATATATATCCCCAGAAAAACCAGAAATTTAGTTCACAGGTCAGCACACTCAGTGACATTTATTATGATGCACCGTTTTGTTGCCATTTGTACATCTGACTGCTTTTACATTATTTCCAGTAATCTTTGTTTTCTGTTTCTTTATGAGTGTTAAACGATTACTAACCTTCAAAGGGTTTTTTTTTTTGTTAAGAGCCAGACGTTACAAATATGACACATGGCTGCAGGATATAACCAGACACATCCTGCTGACACATCAAAGAGCTGAAAATATGCACCCAAAACTGCTCTGAAGCCTCAGACTTTGTATATGACCTCACCCCGCCGCTTCAGTAAGCATCATTACCTCCAAATTATACGTACGTCCACCGAGGAACCTAAGACGCATTTCAATATCTCCCATTGATCTGAGATGAAACGTATGAAAACAGCTAGCGAGGTGTGGGCCCCCAGGGTCCACTTAGTACTAAGTCCAATAAAAGTAAGACTCCCGGATAATGGTGAGGCTTATCAATGCGCCTGTCTGCCACACTTTGTCTATAAGTCCCAAATCTCTAACCTCTGTCCTCCTCATCCCTCAGCTGTTCTGCTTCAACCCCCTGATGAACAATCAGTGCAGGCTGCGTTATTGCACATATGAGATTAATTTACTCCCTGCAGTACACAGAGTGATGTTATTACAGGAAAATCAATGTCCCTCTCGTTGTTCTCTGGGGCTGGACAGGGTGTATGCACATCTGCTCTCATAATACAACTGCTGACCTTGCTGTCAGAGAGGGAGAGAGGCTGCGGTGAAGCGGCCGACTGTGCTGTTTATCAAAGCTTTATCAAGCCTCTCTGCTCTCACAGACGTGTGACATCAGACTGTGGGTCAGCCGGCCGGCCAGGGTGCACTCCAGCTGAGAAAACTCCGGCAGATTCCGGCGAGGGGACGAAGGCCTTCTGAGATTGCAGTTTTTTGTGAAGAACAGTTTCAAAGAGTTTCTGTTAAATGTGCTCACCTCCCTTTAGATCAAAGAAAATAATAATCCTGAATCAGAAATTATTCTGATTTTCTCTTACTGAATTATCAGCTATTTTAACCATTCTTATACCAAACTGTTCTGCTCATTCAGGAGATGGGTGCTGTGACTTTTGGTTTTTGAAACTTTTATCCTTTTCAACATGTTTAACTTTATTTAACATTCTCACCTCCATAGAAATACATGGTGGTCTCTTCAGCTTCATTGCTCTATTAAAAATCTGATTCAACAATCTGGCACTGTTTTTAACATTATTTTGACCATGTTTAGCATCGACCTAGCCTTTTGCTGCTTTTAGCTAGTGTTTTGTGCTTGTAGGTAACATTTGCTTTTAGCGTTTAGCTAATGTTTACCTAATCGTATCCACCATTTTTCTACTTTTAGCTTTTCCTTAGCTACTTTTAGCTTCTATTGTTTTGCAACTTTTGGTTAGCGTTTCACAACTTCTGGCTTTTGGATAGAGTTTTACTACTTTTAGCCAGTGTTCTGCTATTTTTAGCTTTCATCTAGCCCCTTGCTATATTTAGCTTTTTGTTAGACTTGTAGTGTTTTGCCAATTTTAGCTACAGTATGTTATTTTTGGGGTTTTTAGCTAGTCGTTTGGCTTTTAAATAGTGTGTTGCTGCTTTTAGCTTTAGCTTATTTTAGCTATAAGCTAAAGTTTTGTTCTTTTTCCCTTTTAGCTAGTGTTCTGCTTTTAACTTAAATAACTTAGTTATAGCTTCTTCAGCAAACATCAGCAGTCATTCAGCATTCAGATTCCATTTTCACAGAAAATGCTGTTTCTGTAGTTAGCAGAATTTATTCTCAATCCTCATCCTCAGGTTTTATTAACGTCTTTAATCTCTGAAAACACATTAGCCCTCCGGAATGACCTCTTGACCCTCTGTAGAACACAGGTCCATATGATGGGGGGGAGGGGAGCAGCTCAGGGAGGATAAAGCCTCCCTTTTGGCTCACGGTGTCCTCTTTTATCCTCTCCTTTTTCTGCAAACTCACAGGGAAACCAGCAGGGCAGATAAAACAACTGTTTCCTTAGTTTATACAATTTATGCAACAAATGCCAACTGAGGCCATGTCAAAAAAGGCTTGCAGGCTTAAAAAAAACAGGTTATGCTATCTAAAAATAGAAAAGAAATATCAGGAAGAGTTTGACTTGTTTACTGTATGGACGACAAGGCTGAGACACTATCTGCACTAACGCTGATACTTGAAGGGAATAAATAAAATAGTGGTAACAAATGCAGAAGCACGCACACACAAAATAACCTTTTGATGTCTCAGCCATCAAAGGGCTGAACGTATTTTTCTGTGTTCATGTGCACAAGTATGTTTGGACCTCAGCTATGTGCATGGACTCATATTTGTCCTATTTTTGGGTCTGCTGGACCACAGCGTCCTCTCAGGAGTTTACAGTTTTACCTACAGCCCGATGGTAATGTGTTGCTTTTTCAACTGCCTAAAAAACGACAGGAAGAAAAGAGGTTGTCTGTTAGCCAAATACACACAGATATGGTTAAAAAAAATAATTAATTAATATATATATTCACAAAAAATATTTTTACATATGTGTGGCAGATGCAAACATAGGAGGAAATGTTTATTTAGCAAAATATCTGTCAGTGTGGACAGGGTCTTATGTAAAATAATAATAATAATAATAATAATAATAATAATAATAATAATAATAATAATAATAATAATAATAATAAATTAGTTTTATATGGCACTTTTCTAAACACTCAAAAACGCTTTACAATTTTCATTGCATTATTCATTCACACACACGTTCACACACTGATGGTGGTAAGCTATTTTGTAGCCACAGCTGCCTTGGGCCCATATTAAATTATCATAAAATGGGAATTTAAAAACCTAGAGTTTGAAACGAGTTGAGAATGACTCTCAGTTACTACCACATTCTCTCTAGCTAAATATCTGTAAATCTGACTGAGTTACAGCTGTTGTTGGGTCACATAAGTTTGATTAGCTATGACAACTATTTTAAATTAGATTGACTCCAAAAGTGAATCAGTTGTAGAAGTACATCAGCTGATTAAGCTCTGAAAGTTTTATTGAAATCCATTCAGTAGCTCTTGAGATATTTTGCTAACAGACAGACAGTGTTTACTCTAAGATTTAATGTCGCCATTTTAAGCATTGTTGTTGCACGCCATGCAGAACTCAGTACTTATTATAAATTACTCTCATCTACTACCACACCAAATTTTAGCATAAAATCAGTAAAACTGATGGAGTTGAATCCACTTTTGTGTTTAGCAGATTCATTTGGCTGTGTTGACCATCTTGAGTTGAATTAACCCCAAAACTTAATCAGTTGTAGCTGTTTATCCAGTGGTTACATCTTGAGAGTTTCTTTGAATTTCTTCCAGTGCTTCACAAGATATTTTGCTAACAGAAAGGCAAGTATAAAGACATAGGAATCACAATTTTGAAAGGAAAATGAATGATGTTAATTATTGAACAATTTGTACTTAAAATATTTATTTTCATAAAATGTATGAAAAAACAAGTTGTTATTTGGAGGACCAGCGCAGGATCATTTCACGACCTCCAGAAAGTCCGCGAACCATGGTTTTGTTTGTCCTCCCTCCCCGCCCCCATGACCTGCCTGTTGTTTTGGTCTCAGCTTTAAACCTGCAGCTGGGAGGAGGGGGAGGAGAGGGGGAGAGAAACATGCCCCAGACTGCGAGACGGACCCACAGAGGCGGACCGACAGACGTGAGACACCCCCGCATAGTTTCCGTCAGCCGGGTGACGTCTCCGCCTCTCAGCCCGTGTGCAGTGTGACGTCACGGGGCTGTAGTGAAGCCTCTGGCTGCATCTTATTGACGCTCCGCCAGGCTTTTCCCACTGCCGAGAAGACCCCGAACGAGTGAGGACGGACCCGCACGTCGCTCAGGCAAGTGTTGGCTTGGCTGTGCTAAAACAGAAATTATTATTATTATTATTATGTGTTTAATTCAGCTGTTTAATAAGTGTTATTTTGTCGTAGCGGGTTTTTATTTAGTGACTAACGGTTGGGTTTCTCCGGAGGGGGACCAAGCTAATCTGCTTTAGCCGCTCTCTCGCGGGTTAGCCTGCTGTAAAATTAGCGCTGCTTATCGGTCACTGTGCTGGGTTAGCCTGCTCTAAAATACACTGTAAGAAGGGGTTATCCCTCGGTCCGTCGCAGAGGACTCCGCTGGCTGAACCGAGTCAAGTTTTTACTGGGGAGAACTGGGTTAATTTAATCCGTGGTGAGCACCGCTTCACAGTCGTTTAAATCGGGGCACGATGAGGATGGTGGTGGTGTGGGTCTCCATAAAAAAAGGGAGCCCCGCTTTTATTTAGGTTTTTCTCGTTCATTTCATTTTCTGGGTCAAAGATAAGTGAAAGCACACAACCCTGAATCGTTTTAATGTGGAAGATTTCGTGTTTCCGACCGCGACGTTTTATCTGATGAGGTCGCAGTCGGGAACCCCCTGCTGTGCCCCCTCACCGGATCGTGGCGAGTGCGTGACGCTTGACCGCGGTCCGTCGGTCGGTCGCTGCCTTCCCAGGCAGGCGGGCAGGCAGACCCAGACAGTTGGTGTAGACGGTGAATGTCATTATCAGCACTGTCTGCATACCAGAGCCGAGCCAGCAGGAGAGAGGCGAGCTACAGACCGGAGGAGGAGGAGGAGGGGGAGAGCAATACGCGGTGTCCTTGCAGCAAAAATGATCCCAGAAGAGAAAGAAGAAGTGGGGGTGACATTAACGAGTTCACTGTTTTTTTAAAGGAATGCTTGCGTTTCATAGTAAAGCGTAATAATAGCTAATAAAACAGATGACGTGTGATGTGTTAGGTCGACCCACATATAGATCAACCCTCTTCAGATTCAACTCCGAGCTGAGCTGCTGTGTTTTACTTGATGAAAAGAATTAGATACTCTGACCTTCCATAAAAACCCTGCTAAAACAACCTCGGTTTGTTTCTTCACTCTTTCAACAAGCTGTGTTTTCAGTTATCTTTTGGATTTAATAAAAAAATTACCAATTTGAAGTGGATTAAAGCTGCATTTTCTTGTCATATTGCAGCACCAGAGCTGTGTTGTAAAGGTACCTAATTGCAAACTATGAAGTCAAATAAGTGTTATCCAAAATTACTTTGAAAGAGTTTATAAATTCTAAATATGTTGATCATGCAGGTCAGAAACGTGGGTATGCGGTCAGTGTAAACAAAACACATGGGGCTGAATCTGTGGAAACCAATGTTGAAGTTTGAGGCTACTGGGTAAACAAATAGGGCGGGAATTTTAGGTAGAAATTGCTAAATGTGAAAGAACAAATATAGAGGGATCAAAAAAAAGACTTTAGAGCCCCACAAAAACGGATCTCAACATTAAAACTTATGCATCTTTTTAAAACTTCTACACCAGTAATTTTATAACCTCAATTTAACCTACCTACCAATCGACAGACCTACTTACATGCTTACTTTACTCAACAAACCTAAGTGTAAGAACATCAAAATGGTTGGACCTCTCCATCCCTAACGTCTCATCCGTGGATGATCGTTGACCTATTTTCAGTCACTTTGGCTGTTTCCGTAGGTAAACAAACCCAGGTGTTAGCTGCCAGCTGTTCATAAATTTTGCTCGCACGTTTGTAATTTAGGGGCACATTAAACATTGGTATGAGGAAAATACTGCGCAGGTTTTATTTGGCTTTTGCAAAGAGGGGTTCGTTTTTAATTTTGCCGCTCGTTGGCGATGCAACGAAGCATCGCACCCATCAACTCTTTGGCCAACTGCGTTGTTAAAATGTCCTCTTTGTGAAGATGTTGGTTTGGTGGAAACCTTGATTTGAATTTCCTTTTGGCTGAGAAAACCTCGTGTTTGTGTGAAATATGGTAATTGCCATTTGTTGGTCTGAACCACAACAGCTTGAGACCTTTTAAATCTCAAACAGGGTCAGTATAAATCAAAGGTGTCTTACAGGAATGCATGTTGCCTGCCAGCTTTCATGCTAGAGTTTTAGATTAAGATCATCTTTTGTTGAGAAATGACAAAACTAGTTGTTTTGGTTGAGCTTTAAAAGCATTATGCACAATCTCACGCTCAGAGGATGTGTTGTGAATGACTCTCAGGCACTGCCACATTAAATTTTAAAGCCTCTGTCAAATTGGCTGAGTTGTTTGGTAATTTATATTTGGGATACTGAGTGAATTGTTGTCATTTTGTTTTCTGAATTCCTGTTTCTGTTCTTTTTATATTTCAGGCAGTGGATCAGAACATAGAAGCTTCAGTAACCATCATGTATGTATCTAAGTACCAGAAGATTTGTTTCATTTAGGAAAGACTTCAAGGGTTGAAAAGACAAAAAAAGGAGGAGCAGGGAGGAAAAGAAAGTGCAGACGTACGACTGTAACCCCGTGCTTCAGGTATGGCCAGCACCCAGACCAGTTTGAAGACCCCTTTTAAAGACTTGACCTCATTCAAAGGCAACATGAAGCGTCTGTACAGAGAGCGAATGGAGGACGCCCCCATCAAGAAACGAGTGATGGCGGAGATCAACCTGAAACGGCGCGGCTTGGACTCCCTTCCCAAAACTCCTAGAGTGAAGCGGGAGCAGGCGGAGGATCCGCGTCACGACGTGGAGATGGATGTTGAGGGCCGAGCAGAGCTGCACGTCACGGGCTCCGGTAAAGCCCTGGACCTGAGTCCCGGCCTCAAACACACGCTGGCCCAGTTCACTCTCAGCAGCCAGAGCTCCCTCGGGGGCCCGGCTGCCTTCTCCGCCCGCACCGGGCAGGAGCACTCTGCTGGTCTGCCCCCCCTGCCCTCCCCTCCTGTTTTGGGAGGGGGCCCCCTGCTGGTTCCCTGCGACAGCTCCACTGAGCTCACCCACTCGCTGCTGGAGGGAGAGTCCATCTCCTGCTTCGTGGTCGGCGGGGAGAAGCGCCTCTGCCTGCCCCAGGTGCTCAACTCGGTGCTGCGCGACTTCTCGCTGCAGCAGATCAACACGGTGTGCGACGAGCTCTACGTCTACTGCTCCCGCTGCGACGCCGAGCAGCTGCACATCCTCAAGGTGCTGGGCATCCTGCCCTTCAACGCGCCCTCCTGCGGCCTCATCACGCTGACGGACGCGCAGCGGCTGTGCAACGCCCTCCTGCGCCCCGGGGCCGCCCTGCCCGCCGACCCCAGCGGCAAACTGTCGGTCCAGGGCCTGCTGAAAGAGAGCAAGGCCAGCTTCCAGGTGGAGCACCAGTGTCTGGGGAAGTGCCAGGGTCTCTTCGTGCCCCAGTTCTACACCCAGCCCGAGGCGCACTGCATCCAGTGCGTCGAGTGCCAGTTGCTCTTCTCGCCACAGAAGTTTGTCATGCATTCGCACAAGTCCCCCGATAAGAGGACCTGCCACTGGGGGTTTGACTCAGCCAAGTGGCCGTGCTACCTGCAGCTCGCCAGGAAGTACCAAGGGACCGCCGAGGAGCCCAGACTTAAGCAGCTGCTGGACGAGGTCAAGGAGAAGTTCCACTATCAACTCAAGAGATCGCTCGACAAAGTAAGTGCACTTTGGCTAAAGTTTGGTGCCAAAAAACTGGTGTTTGGCTTAATGTTTATACACATGGTTCCTGCGGATCCTTAAAAAGTCTTAAAAGTCATTGTATTCATTGATCCAAAATTAAGGTCTTAAATAGCCTTAAAATGTCTTAAATCAATCTTTCAGAAGTCTTAAAGATGTTAACACATTGTAAATAGGTTGATTGTAATTTGTCTCAAATATTAAAATAATTGGTAACATTTATTTATTTTTTTAAACATTCCTCTTTGACATCACTTCCTGTTTCTTCACATGCAAATATCTCAACAACCGTCCGTCTGAGCATCGTGAAATTCATTTCATAATGTTAATAATATAGTCTTCCACAAATGTATTCACATTTCTTACAAAAAATTGATGTCACAGGGACTTTAAGGTTTCAAATACAGCAAATTGGGGTTGAGACCCCACTCTGGGTCCTAAAACTCCAAATTTTAGGTCGTTACAGAATTTCCAGGAATAAAATTAAGTTTAACACTGACTGCTAAGAAGGTTTTTGCTACGTTTGACAAAAAAAGGCAGTTTGACATGGTTAAAGTTAGGAATATTTGAATACTTCAACCAAAAATACTTTGATTCATGAGTTTCTGCCAGTTTTATTTTTGTCCTTTGTGTTTATTGTGAAATTGGTCTGAAATTTAATTTCATTTGACGTTAAAAAGTCTTAAAAAGTATTAAATTTAACTCACCTTAAACTGTAGGAACCCTGTATGCACTAAAATCTCCCCAAGTCCCACGTTTTGTGTATTTGATGGGTTTAAACCGACTTTATGGCTGTTGTTGAAGGTGGACAGGTGGTGACATCTGGCTCACCAGGTCTGATCAGACTCGGCCAGTTGGCCACAGCTGCAGAGGAAAGGCATCATTTGTCCTCTCAGGTCACCTGGAGGTCAGTGGGAAAGGCGCTCAACAAAAACCGAACACAGGAGTTCTCAGATAGAGGCTGAAAGTCCAGGATCAGAATGACATAAAGGCCAACAGCAATGTTCAAATCCTTTATCTAACAAATTCAAATTTATTTTCAATGAGTGGAATTTTGCTATTTCACATACGTCCTTGCAGTTTTTACAAAGCCGCAACTTGGTGACATCGAAACAAGACATTTTTGACTGTTTGGTCTCTGATTTATGAGTTCTGTGAAGAGTTGCTTAGCAACGTGGGAGAAAAGTGTTTATTGGAAAAGGGAAAACGTCTAGATGCAGCACAAGCCATTTTCTAGGTTCCCTTCACCTGCAGGCAAACCTGAAATTGAAAATGCTTCATTGCAATATTACTGAAACCCACAATGCTGCGGTCGTCTGAAAAGGATGCTTTCTTCTTTTTCTTTTGCATTAGGGAGGGAAAAAAAGTCAATATATGATCAAAACCTCAAGGCCAGAGAGCATAAAAGAGTTATCATTCAGTGAAGGATGAGATTATGTTTTTCCACTAACATTAAAAATGTCTCCTGACTTGTTTGACCAGAGCAGAGCTGCTTCTTGCGTTGTTTTTGGGGTGAATGTGGGGTTATGTTTTTGTCGGATTGGTGCACATAGATTTCTCCACAACGTTTTCCAACATTTTCTTTCAGGTCACTGTTTATATGTAAGGCTGTGGTGTACACGCATCTGCAGGTGTCGAAAACAGCCACCGTAACACAAATGTTTACGTTGGCGAAACGGATAAATAATTCGCCTCTGGTCAGCTTGACGTGTGAATGTGGCGGAAACGCTGTCTCGTCTGGCATCCCAAACCGCATTCCTGTCCCGCCTCTTCCCAAACGTCCTTCTCCTCTGCCTCTGCCTCTGTCTCGGATCGAAGGTATTCATCTTGAAAGTCGCAGGCATTCTTTCTCAGAGGCGCAGACACGGTATCGCCGCAACGCAGGCAGAATAAACAGCAACGGACACAGACGCAGGCAACACAAGCAACAAAACATATGTAACGTCGTGGTGAATTATGAGTCCTAACGTCTCTGTGTGCTTTTATGTGTCAGACGTTGTAGCTCTCCGTGTGTGTGGCTCTCTCTCTCTCTCTGTGTGTGTAAAAGAGCATATAATTGGAGGTTAGTATGACACATATTTGTCTTTCTGTCTCACACTTTGCCAGGCTCTCTGGAGCCTGTGTCTCACCACAGTTTGAGGTGCTGTCTTCTCTCCGATGTGTTTTTCACACTACCTTTTCTCATTTTATACCTTCTCTTTTCTGTCATTGTTGAGGATTCGACTTCATTAGAAATAGTGTTTCTCCGACGTTTGTGTAGACACTGGTCACAAGTGGGCACATTCCTAAAGAGTGCAAGAACGTATTCAGGAAGCAGGTGATTTTGTGTGTTTAAGGAGAACAACACTTCACCCTCTCCCTGAGAAGATATTATGAGTGTATCAAAGGTCAGTAACTAGAGAACAAGCTGCACCCACAGTGTGCCGCTTCACCCAGTCACAACACAGTGGTTCCCCTCCAAGTGAAAGCACTCTGTGTTTGTGTGCTGGCGTAATGAAAATGTGTTTGACTGAACAGGATGTGAGGAGGTCTCTCACCCTGAACATCCTCCAGACTCTCGGTGTCCGACCGCCTCCGCTGCACTGGCTGTGTGACTCACACTTTCCACATCCCAGTGGATGTCAGCGAAAGGACAGCCGGGCAGCTCGTACAGTCACACGCATGCTTTTAAGAAAGGTGGCTCACTTTTCCTCTGCGTTGGTCCAACCCCAAACGTAGACGGCTTCTCCCGTGAGCACTTATTTACACACAGTGTCAACGTGCACGTTCACAAAGCTGTTCGTTTTTACCAGAGGGGGACCTCTGAGAAGAGACGAGACACAAACAAGGGCAGCCTTCTGGAAGTTTTTTTCCCCCCTCTGACTTTCTCCAATGGCCTTGCACTCCCATATCCTGTTAGGAGTGTTTGGCTTGAGTACGTGCATTTAAAAACTCCAGGACTTGCGCTCTATAAATGGCGCCTTGTGCCTGGAGGCACTGCTGGCCTGTCTGCAGATCCCTGCTGTGTAAATAGAGTTTGCTAGACGGACGCCATTAACAGACAGCAGCCAGCAGCAACAAGACGAAGCCTTATTACCTAAATTATTTTAGTTCTCTCCAAACAATGAGTTCATTTTGCCTCTGCGAGTTGAGACAGTCACTTGTACTTAAAACCAAGACGTCAGGTGGTGTTACATTTTGTTTTCTTTTTGTTTTTGTTTTTTGTCTGTGCAAAGAAGTCAGGAAGTAACACAAGAAAATAGATTTGATGGATCTATTTTAATGTAAAACTTCCTTTCGTGTTAGTTTCAGCAAATCAATAGATCAGAAAATATCTAAAGGGAACAAATAGGTTTTGATTCAGTGATGCACAAAAATGTAAACTATCTGTATTATAATTTGTTTTATGTGTTATGTTGGTGATTTGTTTCCCTATGACTTAGTTTCAACATATGAAGAATTAGACGCTGATGCTTTAGGCGTGTTTTTGAACTGTAACGTGGTGCTTATTTGCCTCGGCCTTGTTTGTAGCGTTGCGCTGGCTCCGAGTCAGAGAAGTCAGACGTAGTGAACAGCCCTCCTCTGTCTGTCTGCCTGGCCGGGCTGACACAGTGGCTGCGGCACAGACGGCAGACAGCTGCAGCTCTCTGGCTTCCTCTGTTTGCTATTTGGAAACCAGTGACTTCATTACCACAGAGCGGTGCAGCTGTACTCTCTAGCTGGCTCCCGTCTGCTCTGTCTGTCTGCTCGTCAGTCATTCTTCTGGGTTGGATCTAATTGAATTTTGGCAGACATGCTAATCATTCACCATGCTGCAGTTGCTGTTTTTTTTTTACCCCCCACCCATCATCTACTTCCATCTTCACATCCATCTTTGATCATCAGGCTCCTTCTCCTCAGACATTTCATCTTACCTCCAATCTGCTCTTGGCGATGCAGTTCTTCTCTCATCCTCTCCTCCTTCAAAATCTGACGGTTCTCTTGCAGCTGTCAATGCCCCCACCCCACCCCCAGGCCCCTGCCAGCGAACAGTAACAAAGTAAGCAGCAAAATGACCCGATAAGTCGATCGCTACATAAGCAATAAGACCACTTGTGTGCATCTGTGAGGCAGTTGGGAAGAAAGGCCAGTGGTTATTGATCAGGTCTGCAACCTTGATGGATGTGGTGAAGGCGCAGCTGACGCAGAATAGTAAGAGGACACGTACCAAGAGAGGGGGGCGGGGGAGGAAGCAGAAGAGATGTGAAACGATTAAAAATAGTAATAGTTATTGCCAGTGCTAGCTATAGAAATTTACACCTGGCACGTAATGAGGAAAAGAAGAAAAGTCCAGGGTTTATGTCGCTGCAGGTCAGTGTGTATCTTGTTCAGTTGCAAACAGCTCTACACTTTGGTGGTCCTTCATGAGGAAGAACTCGTCAGCATTGATGTGGTTGTTACCATGGGCTTGGGGCCCAGCTCTCCTCTCCCTGAGTTGAAAATTAACCTCTGTGGGACCTTAGCTGCGCCACAAATCTATTCCGTAGCAGCCCTCTTGGCCAGCCAATCACATTTATTCGAGCGTGCATTTCCCCAGCTAACACTCACCCCGGCCCGAGACTCCCGTACGCATACTTCTCTGTCCGTGTATTTTCCAAAGAACAGTCATCCACTCATTCTAAACACAGAGCTGCTCTTTTGAGCGCTGGCCCAGACAAACGCAGTCTGTCACGTCGCATATGTAGCTCGGTGTGGGAGAGTGTTCGTGTACGCTACACTCAACCCCAGCCTTGACCAGTGTTTGCTGTCTGTTGTAAAGAACTGAACGGGGCCTCATGAGGTGGGAGGGGCTGAGCCGTGGGGCCTCTGGTATGTTACCATCAGGTCATTGTCAGTTTTACAGAGCTGTAGCAACATCACAGCTCACTGGAGGAACACCAAAATAATTATTCTCCGTCTTTGTCTTAAATAGATAAGAAACCTCTCAGGTTTTGGGTTTCATATAGTCACAGTTCGTTTCA